TGCCGCTGAGCTATATCCTGGCCTAATGCTCCTTTTTCTCTTTCTTCCTTACTTTCATTTTTTCCTCCTTTTCTTTTTTTGTGATAGTGGGGATCAAACCCATTCACCCTGAGCTACATCCCCAGCCCTATTTTATTGTTTGTTTTGAGACAAGTTCTCTTTAAATCACCAAACTGCAAAGCTCAAAACTGCAATCCTCCTGCCTCAGCTTCCTGGAGAGCTGGGATTATAGTGCGCCACCACGCCGAGCCAGAATTTCTGTGAGGCAGACCCGAGTGGGATACCACCTGTGTGTCTGAGATCAGAAACGCCGGAATGGTTTGCAGTGCCTCACAGGGCATTCTGTAACCCTGCTGGGGACACATGCAAATAGAAGCATCTGTTTTTTCCTCTGAGAGCATGAACAAAGAGCAACTCTTTATATTAATAAGTTTGCCCATTAAATATTTCAAGTAGCTGTGGAAAATATGAATAAAAACATACTGTACAATGAGAACTAGTCCTGCACTGAGGGAGGCTGAGTCAGAGCTGGTCCCAGCCGGGCCGCTGAGGGAGGTCCTGTCTTGAAAAGCAGCAGGGCTGGGGATGGGACTCAAGGAGACGGGGCCCTGGGTCGCTTCTCCAGGGCTGCAGAGCAAAAACAAAACCCAGCACCTGCAGAACGTGCTGGCTAAGCCACAACACCAGAGTTACCCTGTTTAGAAGGGAAGCGTTTACATGCAAAAATAAATGAGGGAAAGGGTTTGTTTGTTTTGTCTCCTTTTCCTCATTCTACCAAAGGGGTGATTTGCAACAGTTGGCATTTGATAGCATCACTTTACTGCTTTAGGTAATGGTGACAGATTTATAATGTGTGTGTGTGCGTGCGTGCGTGCGTGCGTGTGTGTGTGTGTGTGTGTGTGTGTGTGTGTGCGCGCGCGCGCTTCCTTCTCTGTGGCCCGGAAGTTCCCTGGCGCAGAGCTGAGTTCGTATCCTGCCTGCCTACTAACGGTTGGCTGTCTGAGTGGAGCCACGTTATTTAACTTCCGCCTCCTGGCTGTTGCAGAGAAACAGTTCCCAGCAGAGGTGAGAATGTTACGAGAGAGGAGGTGAGCAAACAACCCAGCGCCAGCGCAGCAGAGGCGCTCGAACATGGCAGTTACTCTTCATAATTATGATTACCGAATTGGGTTCTTTCAGGAAGAATTCTCTCTTTCCTTCTCTCCCTCTCCCTCTCTGTCTCACTAAGGACTGAAACCAGAGCCATCACACTGAGCTGCATCCCCAACCCTTTTATTTTATTTTATGTTATATTATTTATTTATTTTGTCTTTTTGAGACAGGGTCTCGCTATGCAGTTCAGGCTGGCCTTGAGCTCACTTTGTAGCCCAGTCTGGTCTCGAACTGACAATCCTCCTGCCTCAGCCTCCCAGAGTGCTGGGATTACAGGTGTGTACCACCCCGCCTGGCTCCCAACCCCTTTTTAAAAAACTTCTACTTTTGAAATTTTGAGGCAAGGTCTCACTAAGCTGTTAGGTAGCTCGAGCTGGCTTTGAACTCGAGACCCTCCTCCCACAGCCTCTGAAACCCTGGGTTAGGTTGTGCGCCACCACGCCCAAGCAACTCCCTGGTCTCCCAGAAGTGCTGTGCTGTAGCTTTCCTCCGAGCGTGTGTCGCTCTCTGTAACACGTCACACCGTTATCGCTAACGAACCGTGCGGGTTGTAGCAGTAGGCGTCCCATCTCTCGCTCCTGTTGAGCCGGACTCCGTAATCGATGATCCCAGTTTTCCCGAATCCACAGTTGGGCCCTGGCTTCACAATGGGGTACCCAACTCTGCCCTTGGCCATCCACCCTGCAGCACAGACGTGAAACCCTGCGAGAGAGGGAAAGGGTGAGTGGGGGTGGGGAACCGCAGCTCCTCAGCTGCCCGGATCCAGTTCCTGTAAGATGGGAGAAAACAGCTTTCAGAAAAAAGAAAAAGGGTGCGCATAAAATACAACTTGCGACTTTTACTAAAGAGTGGTCCTACTTAAAAAAAAAAAAGACATAGATGGACCAGAGATCACACTGTAGATATAGAACCAATCCAATTTCAGAGGTGCCTTCTTTTCACAAATGGTCTCTTACTACGTGATCATTTATGAAATTACTGTGGATTCTGGAAGAAGCTTTTTCAAGTGGTAATCTAATTCATTTCTATGTCAAAATCCATTAAGACACCTGTAATCGTTTCAAGGTTTGAGGTGAGTGTGGTGGCACACACCTGTAATCTCAGCAGTCAGAAGGCTGAGGCAGGACTGCTGGGAATTCAGAGCAGGCTTGGGTTACATAGTGAGTTCAAGGCCAGCCTGAACTACAGAGAGAGATACCACCTTAAAGAAAAAAAAAGTAAAGATTTGAATAAGAGCCAGTTATGGTGGCATTCTCCTATAATCCCAGCACTTTGGGAGGCTGAGGCAGGAAGATCATGAATTTTTGAGGATAGCTTGGCTTACATAAGGTGTTCAAGGCATCGTGGGCTATGTGGTGAGACCCTGTCTCAACAAATAACAAACAAGATCTGAATACAGATCACTTCTCTCATAAATTTCAAACAAAGGCTCAGCTTCTTTTCCTTGTTCGGCTTTAGAGGCTGTTTTAGCATCTACCAGTACCGTGCAGGAGCAGTTGTGTGATCCCAGCACTCAGAGGCTGAGGCAGGAG